AACCTGAATTAACTTCATTCATTATAGATTTATGCCACAGCATCTCAGCTGGATCCTCACTCTGAATTTCTATTTATTCCATTTTTCTTTAGTCAACATAGTGAATAGAGAACAGACCTTCATGTTAGGCAAAGCTGGGTTTAAATCCTGCCTTTAACATATACTGGCTGTGTGTGCCTGGGCACATTATTGCCCCAGGCTGCTCTCTAAGATAATTTGCAGAGAAAGTACAAACCTGCATTGGTGGAGGGAGTTACATGCAGGATTTCCCCTCTTTGCTATCTTTATTCCCTACAGTAACAGTTCCACACTCACTCTTCTCCTCTACCCCCTCATCAGCCCACATCTCCCACAGCTTTGGGAGACATCTCAGCATTCTATTTCCTTAAGGAGCCTGAGGCCCATCTGTGGGAGCCTATGGGATCTCTCTATTGGTCCTCCCTCTCATGCTCGTTCCTTTTCAGCTTCATCATCTACTCTCACCCTTTGACTAATATTTGCCAACATGTATTCAGCATTTTAAGGCCTACAAATTACATGCACCATCTCATTCAAGCCTCATCAGTGCCCTGTTGAGGAACTTAAGAGAATTATTGCCTCCTCCCCATTCTTATAAAAGAGGAAACTGAGTTTCAGAGAGATTTAGTAATTTGTCCATCATTACACAGTTGATCAGAAAGGCAGCCAGTGGCTTAGTGGGTAGAGCACTGAGCATGGAATCAAGAACACCTGAGTTCAAATCCAGCTTCAGACACTTTCTAGCCATGTGACCCTGGGCAAGTCACTTAACCTCTAATTGCCTGACAAAATGGATCCACTGGAGAAGGAAGTGGCAAACCACTCCTGTATCCTTGCCAAGAAAACCCCAAATGGGGTCACAAAGGGTTGATCAGGACTAAACATCAACAACACAGTTGGTAAATGTTACAGGCTGGATTCTAAGCTGCATTTGGCTCTTCATTTCAGGAAAGTCATTTTGGTGATTGTTGAGAATAAGCTTGAGTGGTGAAAAGCCTGGGGCAGGGAGACCCAAAAAGAAGGCTTCATATTAGTCTTACTCTATGTCTAGCACTCTTTCTAATTCATCACGCTGACCATGAGGAATCCCTAGTGCAGTCTCTGCCATTGAGCCCATCTCCTCCTGCTTCCTCCATGGCCTTGCTTTATCTCCAATGTCTCCTTTACATCTAGTTCCTTTCCTCTGATGATAAACTTGGGTCTTCCCAAATCTCTTTACTTAATTATCCACCCACTTCTGTGGCAACACTCTTCTCCTCTGCACTGCTAAAATTCTAGGAGTTGTCATCACTTCCTTGCATTACCTCAGGTTTTTCCATATGTGTTCAATAACCTCTCAATGTCCCCCTCTTGGTTTATTGAATTCTTGCCCACTCTTTTAAATCAAATTCAAATTCTGCCTTGTCCATTATTTCTTCCTTGAATCCCCCATTCTATAGTATCTTTTCCCCTCAGACTTCAGATAGCAGATTGTTTTGCACTTCTCTAATGAACTTGTATAATATTGTATGTTATAATCATGTTTTTGTGCCTTATGCCCCTACTAGACTGTCAGCTTTGTGAAAACAGGTACTATGTATCGTCAAAATATTGCACCTCCCTGAACACATGATATAGTACTTGGTGACATTTTTAACAAATGTGAGTTCAACAAACAGATGAATGAAATAATGAAGAAATAAAGAAAACCAGGGTTCAGAACCTGTGGTATCTTCCTAGGGGCTGAGAAGAAGAATAAGCCAAATTTTAGAGTATGCAATTGTCTCAAGCTCAGGGTGTGTAATAACCCAGGAACTGGAATGTGTGATCACCTCAGGAAAAGAGTGCAGTAGCTCATGCTCAGTGTTTGTGATAGCCCAGGACAAAATGCTGGAATAACCAAGGGGCCAAAGTATTCAGGCTCAGTGTGTGTGATAACCTTTGCTCAGAGTATGTGATGTCTTAGGGCTCAGTGCCTGGGATGAATCATTGTTTAGGGCGTGATTTCCCTTGGGCTCAGATTCTGAGATGTCTCTTGGTTCACTGTGTTTAATAGCTCAAAACTAAGGGTCCATATAATAAAACAACACCTAAAGCATGCCATGGTATGGCATGCTGTGGCAAAGTATTTGTGAATATGCAGCATGTGTGTGATATTCCCTTCTGTAGATGCAGCTGGCAACATGGGCTTATTTTCCTCAGATTTGAAGGCCCCATCATTGATTCCTAATTAAGTCCAAAGATATCTTTATCCCCTGACCCTGACCTTTCTCTCTTATAGCAAGAGAACCAGGACCGGGGCAGGGGAACCAGGCGCTCCTCAGATTGCCGGGCTTGACAATGTTATTGATGAAGACTGTGGCTATCAACATCCTGTTTAGCACCATGATCTTGATCTTTTTATCTTCCCATCCCATGAAATTATTCCATTAATCCTTGTCTGTTATCTGCTCCCTCATATTTCCATCCAGCTGTCCTCCCCAACCCCCATCCATACTCAGCCTCTTTTTTCTCAGTCTTCTCTCTGTCCCTTCATCTCTCCCACCCTAACCTCACAATCTCACGCCTATTCCCCTAGGCATTTCATAGTCTTCTCTCTGCCTTCATCCCCTCTGTTCCCTTAGCTTTTTCTTTATTTTCCAAATCTTTTCTCTTGCCTATTATTCTCTCTGTCTCTATGATGTCCCTTCTGTGGGTGGAAAAGGGGAATGAACAGAAAGGAATAAGCTGCCTCTAAATGAGTTTCACTTCTGACTCCCTGACTCTTGACTTCTGACCTTTGTTTCTCCAGAAGCATGGGAAACAAAGTTGTGGGAGCCACCATTTGAACCCTGACATGACCATTTGAGCTCCAGAATGATCCCAGTGACCCCAGGCACATTCATTCCCTCCTGAGATTCAGAATAGTCAATCCTCAGTCTGTGTCCCCTGAAATATTCAAGGTATTCCTTTCTTTGGAGGTTGGGAGTGGGAGTGGGGAGGGGCAGATAATCATAGTCCAAGTTCTCCACCTTTCCATACCTTGGGCAGCAGCAACAATTCCCACTATTACCTTTTCCTATATGAGGCTTATTTGGGGGGTACGCACCAGGTTTCAACCTCCAGTTCATGTTTGTGGGATTATGGCCATGTGGGTTGCTTAGAGTCAGTAGGGGCCATGTACCATGACAGAAATGAGGCTGTGAAGGTTGGAGACCCATGGGGGAGAAAATCAGCCTCATCATCTTCCAGTGCCTACTTTTTCTTACAATGTCCCTGGGGAGGTCACATCCTTCATTCTTACAGCTGAGGAAAGAATCACATGGGTGAGGAATCTTAATTTCCATCAGGATGATGGGTCAGATGTAGGGAGGAACTTCCTGGTGCAAGATCTCCTTGAGTCCCTAATGCTATCTATGTCCTATCCCTGTCCCTAAGACTATTCCTGAGGTAAGGGGCATAAGGATACTTTAGGACACAACTCAGAGACTGGACTTCCTCTGAGATGCAGCTGAATCTAATCAGAGTCCTTTGCACCCTCAAAGATCAAATGTTGATGTTGTATGAACCACTGTTTCCCTGGTAAGAGAGGAAATGGGAGGAGGGCCCAGGGAGTACACAGTTCTAGAAGGAATCTAGGAGGAATCCCAAGGGGTCCAGGCAGGGAGAAACAAGTGTGAGACAAGGACAGATGACCAACTATGGGAATGGATAGGACAATCCCTCAGGGTATGGGAGAAAAGAAGAAGGGAATGACTTGGGGTCCTAGAGTTGAACTTAGCCTCAAATGCTGATAATCTCTTGGAAGGAAAGAAAGAAGCATTTACTAAGTGATTACTATGTGCCAGGAACCATACCAAGCTCTGGAGATAAAGATATAAGAAAGAAGAAGGACAGTGCTTGCCCTCAAGGAGTTTACAATCTAATTTGAGAAAACAATACATAAAAGAGAGCTAGAAAGGGAGAAAGGGAAAGGATAAAGATACTCTAGGGCACAGTTTTGAAGTACAGATGCCAGGATCAGAGCCAAGAGGAGAAAAAGGCCAGCCTGAGTCCCTTCATAAAATGGATACTCCAAGAGGAATTCATCAATAGGATAAAAGTGTGGGCCCCACAGAGACATATTCTAGGTTGAAAAGACTGAAGGCACATTAGGATGTGGTAGAGTGAGGAGACTCCAGGTGCTAAAGGAAGTTCCAGAATGAGGCAATGTTGGAATATGGTTTTGAAGACCAGAAGCCAAAAACAGGCTTCTTGGTCCCAAGTGTGAGAAAAAAACAAACAAAAAACCCCACATAGGAATAAAGAAATATTCCAGGCTTAAACTTATTGAGTGAGATGATACCAGAGGAGTCTGGGTCATAAAACTGACCCACTATCTTCCCTGAACTCCCATCAGATAAATCAATCATCTGAGGCCTCATGAGCACCCCTCCTGAAGGTGAAACCTGTAAAACTTTGGTCTGGGTATCAACCTACTACGATGAGGCCACAATGAGGGTGCCATGCTGCCTTGATGGGCATGAGATGCTGGAAGTAATGATGAGGGTGGGGAATGAGATGCCAGGGACATGGACATGCCAATATCTTCTTTGTTCATGCTTCCTCTCTGTATTCTGAACCTACTTCCCCTCCCCACCCCCTCTCCCAATCTCATTCATTCCTAAACCAGTGCACTAAATGCTGTTCTCAAGACTCCTGGCCCAAATAAGCTGAGGTCCAAATCCCGTTCCCCATCAAACCCAGTTCCTCTTGTGCACCTTCCCTTTCCAACCCTGCTTGTGGGAAAAAATGACCCCCTGATTATTGAAGCTTGTGGCAGCTCAGGAGTTATTAGGTAGTTAGACAGCAGGCAGGAAGCAGCTTGCTAGAACCCAAAAGAAATGCTGACCTGGCACAGGCCTTTGTTTAAGCTGATAGGGAGGGGCCTCCACAGAGCATATAAGGGCCACTCAACCTCCTCTTATTCAATTTCTCATCTCTGAAGGAATAAAAATAATTAACATTTACATAGCAGCTATTTGCCAGGCACTCTGCTTAGCACGACAAATATTACAACCTGGGAGGTAAGTGCTATTTCATCCCCATTTGACAAGTGAGGAAACTGAAGCAAACAGATGTCAAGTGACTTGACCAGGGCCACCCAGAATATGAGGTCTAATTTGAACTCAGGAATCCTTGACTCCAGGCCATGCATTCTATCCACTGTACTATCTAGTTGTCCCAAGCCTTGTGCTGTTTGTTTCTAACTGGGGTCAACAAGTCCTTCATCTTGGTACTGCTGCTTGAGAATGATACCCTTATTATCTCATTACAGGAAGCACTTGCTTTCATAGCTAGACTCCAAGGTTTATCTGGGCCAGATAGGGTCCTTGCTTGAAACAATTGTCAGAGTTGGTAGGATCATGTGCAATGGCCAAAGAGAAGTTTCAGAAAGAGAGGTATTCAGGAGGACATGAATGGTACCCTCCCTCTAAAGCTAAAATGGCTCAATATGGCCCTAGTATATGGTCACACAAGAACCATGGGATCCCATCTTGGTATCGGGAAGGATGCCTCACTGAGCCTGAGGACATAGATAGATGGATCCATAAAGATAGGAACCTACAAGGATTAAACAGTGGGAGGGAGACTGCCCCCTGGCTGCTCTTACTGTAATAAAGAAGCAAGAGAGGAAATAGACTGCCTTTGCTGGGATATGAAAGAGGAAAGGTTGACAGGAGCATGCTCTGGGCTGTCTGTAGGCTGGGTGAACCTCAATTCCTTCTAAAGCTAGGTCTTCTAGAACTGAGTTTGGGGAACCATAGGATGTGGAAGGTAAGATGGACAAACAGTGTGTGGTGGATGGGTGGTCAGTCAATGGCAAAGCCCCTTGGAAACTCCAATCTTTCATCCACTCTGCTGCCAAAGTGATTTTCACAAAATACATGTCTGACTCTGACCTTCCCACCTCCCAACTCAATAATCCCAGTGGCTCCTTATAATCTCTAGGATCAAATATAAAATGCTCCTTTTGGCATTTAAAGCCCTTCACAACTTAAACACTTCCTACCTTTCCAGTCTTTATACCTTTACTACACTAAATGTACTCTATATTCCAGAGACAATGGTCTTTACACACTCCATCCAATTTTCATACTCCACGTTCTTTTACTGACTGTCCCCTATGTCTGGAATATTCTCTTTTCTTGCCTTCACCTCTTGTCTTCCTAGGCCTTCTTTAAGACTCATCTCAAATCCCACCTACTTCAAGAGCCCTTTTCCTGTCCTCCCCTGCCCCTCTCTTTATAGCAAATGCCTTCTTTCTGAAATTGCTTTCCATTTACATGGCATATAATAAAGTCATTTGCCTGTTGAATTCTCCATTAGAATGTGAGCTTCTTGAGGGCCAGGACTGTATTTTGGCCTTTTTCTGTGTCCTTGGTGCTTAGCACAGTCCCACACATATAGTCAATGCTTAATAAATGACTTAATAATTGACTGACTGAATGGAAACTCCCCAAAAGCACCTTGGGTTGGAGGAAGGGGTGCTCTATTTTGTAGTTTGGATACAGACCTTTCAAAACTCCTTTACCTTAAGGGAATGGGAAGAAGTCCATCTAGTTGTCATACCTAATCTAGCCTGTAAGGTGGGGTAGGTACCAGTCTAAGAGTCAAAGTCAGTGCAATATTCTTCTGAGGAACTGGATCAGTTACAAACCATATTCCTTCAGTGGACTTGGGAGATGCTTCTCAAATGGCTTCTTTGGTCATTGGACAATTGTGCTTGTTAAATTAACCTTATTGACAGTGAGTTGAAGCACCTGAGAGTCCTGGCCACTAACCCCTTGATGCCATTGTAGGTTCAGCTAATTACTTAAGTGGTGCCCCAGCAAGGGGATACATCCTGTTCCAGTGGGTAGATACGTCATTGTAGTTACGATGGCTTCCAAAGGGGGACTTTTCCAAGGAATCTAAACCAGGCCAGTGAACTGATCTCCTGATGTGGGCTGCCTCCCAAAAGAATTTCTGAAAGCAACCCGACAACCCCAGGTGGCCTCCCTGGCATGGCTGAAATGATTTAAGGCTTCCTGCCTTGGGGCTCCATCTGTCCCTACTTTTGTCCACCCTTGGGGAGATTTAGGACCTGGTGCTCATGAACTTAAGGAACTTAGCTCAGGCAGATTTATGGCATCATGTCCTAAAGATGACATGATCTGGAGCAAAAGGACCCTCTGGCAAGTCATGCATGAAAGAGGTCTTGTCCTGTGGGAGCTATAGATTTGACTATTAAAACCTGAGGCTTAGGGGCAGCTAGTTGGTGGAGTGGATAGAGCACAGGCCCTGAAGTTAGGAGGACCGAACAAATCCAGCCTCAGACCAAACACTTGACACTTACTAGCTGTGTGACCCTGGGCAAGTCACTTAACCCCAATTGCCTGAAAAAAAAAACACCACACCTGAGGCTCCTTAAGAGCAGCTAGGTGGAGCAGTTTACAGAGCTCTGGGCCCAGAGGCAGAAAGACCTGAGCTCAAATTCTACTTCTTGGGGTTGTCAAAAGGATCAAATGAGATAATACTTGTAAAGCACTTAGCACAGTTCTTGGCACATAGGAGGCCCTTAACAAATGCTTGTTGCCTTTCTTCCTAAGGAAGAAATGGATGGCGAGACATTCAGCACCTTGGTGTGAAGGCTCTAATGGCTTATGGCAGAAGAAGAGGGGACCAAGTGCTCCTACTCACCTGTCTCCATACTCTTTTATCCTCCCTTAAAGAGCTTGGGGGTAGGGGCCAGTGTCTCCCAATTTGGACAGTCCTTGGCCCTACCACTCCTGTCAAGAGGTCTTATGCTGGGGTGGTCATGCAATAAGATGGGGGCATAGAAAACAAATGTTCCCTGGACTATTGTATACAGGATCACAAACTACAATTATCCAGGGAGATCTAATCCAAGGCATGGGGGAAGCTCGTGGTGGAGTGGGATAGGATTCCCATACAATTAGGATGGTTTGGAAGAGTGACCACCTTGGGAGTCATAGCCAGGACTCATATGATGGTTGGACACTGGCCATTTATCTGAACCCTGCTGGTGGTTAACTACCAACCTTAATTAATTATTTCATCATCATCATCATCATCATCATCTAGTGTTTTAAGGCTTGCAAGGCATTTTTGGGGTCATATTATTTCATATGATCCCCATGGCAATCCTGTGAAGTGCTATTATAATCCCCATTTTACAGATGAGGAAATAAGCTGAGAAATGTGAAGTGACTTACCCAGGGTCACACACCTACTAAGTGTCTAAGGCAGAATTGGAACTCAAGTTTTACTAGTTCCAAGTCTAGCGTTCTATTCCCTGTGCCTCCTAAGTGCTAGGCAATCTAAACGATCAGGAGACTGTCCTTGTTAAGATGATAGGTATCAAACCCCAGGATGTCCTAGTAAGTAGGACTTAGGCAAAAGAAACTGGGTCTGCTGACTCCTACGCTAGTCCCCAGTACAAAAAAATACTACATCTTGAGAAGAAAAAAGGAAATCTCTGCATTAATTGATGAGGTGAAATAAGCTGGGATCCTGGTATATATTAATTCCTTTAACAGCCTTCAGGGCAAGGTAGATAGCTTGTAGTATCTCACTATGGAATGAAGCAAGTTGGTACACACAATTTCTGGATTTCTGGAGCAGTCTCTAGCTTGAGACAGTGTATCCCAAATTTTTATATAAGGATATGAGATCATTGATCTAGCTAATGTGTCCTTCTGGGCACATCCATGCACTAAGGGGAGAAATCTATCTGAATTGCTACATAAGTTGCTCTATGAAAGCCACCAGGGGACGCTGTAATACCAAATAATATCAGCTGTTTTTCATTATCATGTAGACCAGCCAGCACTAGTAGCATCCATGTCTCTACCAACCTTTCCCTTCTATTGCATTCCCAGATTTGTATGTAACCTATGAGTATGCCTGAATTTCCATCATTATCATAATTTATTTTTACCGCATCTTATTTGGTGCTTGGTCTATTTTTCAGTCCTTAGCATGGACCCAGTAGGACTATTTTATTCACATCTAGGTTAAATATGTTTACTAAAACAAAAAGAAAGTGACGCTACATGGTTTAAGACAAAGCGATTCTAAAGGGTAACCCCAGCTGAATTTCACGTCCCCCTTCTCTGGTCTACCTTTTGCTCTCTCTCCATCAGCAGACAATCAGACTAGAAGACCATAGTGATAGGTGGTTTCTTAGTTTACTACATTCACCTCCCTCCATCTCCTGATCCTGTGATCTCCTCAAAGTACCTGTCCCTACTGGGTGAAGCCACTGTTTGATGATAATATGGCCTAGTTGGCTTCCTTCTGGCCACCAATATGGCTACTGACAGCTTAGATTACTGGAAGTATGGGAAAATAAAGGCACCGAAGAGAGAGATGCCTCATTCCACTAGAATTCCCACTGGAGCTTGAGAACTCTCTAGATCCTACAAGAAAGGTGCTTTATATTAGCTTCCTTGTGGCTATTTAGATCCACACTTCCATGCCCCTTTGAGGCCTAACAATTCAGACAGCAGAGAGGAAGCATGTCAGATCTTCACAGTGGGTAGCTGTTGTAGCATGTGCTTTACAAGCATGGTAATTAGCCTAAAAGGCAGGGGAACATATGCTCACTATGCGTGTTCTAGGCAGAGTTGTCCAGTTTGGCCAGAATGTAGCATATGAGAAGGGAAATAATATAAGATGAGGTTGGACAAGGAGAAGGGGGAAAATAACAGACTGTGGAGGGTCTTCAATACCAGAAAGAGGAGTTTGAATGGTACCCAGCAGGCAACTGGAAGTCATTGAAGAAAGGGTGACATAACTAGATTTATGCCCAAAGAAGATGATTCTGACAATCACAGGAAGGGTGGATTAGAGGAAAGGTGAAAAGACTATTGCAACAGTCTTTGTCATCGGGAATGAGGGTCTAAATTAGGATGTTGACAGTATGAGTAAAACAGAAGAAAGGGGTATGAGGGATACTGTGCAAATTGATTTGACAGGATCTGGTAACTACTCAAATATGAGGAGTGAAGGAGAGGGAAGAGTCATTGATATCTTCAAGGTTACAAACTTGGGAGGCTCAATGAATGGAGCTACCACAAGGAACAGATTCAGGAAAAGAGATAATGAATTCCATTTTGGACATAAGGAAGATATCAGGCAATGGTATGTAGCATGATGGAGGAGACACAGGAGAGGATAGAGGTGGGAAGATCTGTTAAGAGGTTATTTCAATAGTCCATGAAGGTAGCAAGGATGATTCAATTCAATTCAGTTCAACAAGTAAGTATTAAACACTTTTTTGGGTACTGAATCTGTGATTTTTTAAGTACTTACTATGCCAATGAACTATGATAGGTAGACAAAAAAGAGGGAAAAAAAACAATTCTGTCATCAAGGAGCTTCCATTCTACTGAGTTAGTGCTGAGGTGATGGAAGTAGAAAAAGAAAATAGGGCATACAGGAGAGATGTTATAAAGGTAGAACTCACAGGATTTGGCAAATGATAGGATATAAGTAGTGTAAGAGACAAGGGGATCAAAGACAACACTAAAATATCAAGCATGGGAGACTAGATGAATGGTGGTGCCACAGACCACTAGGAACATTATTGTAATAGCAAAGTCAAAAGAATAGGCAGGTATTGACCATGTGACCATTGACTTTATTCTTGAAGGGAGAAGAGGAGACAGCAAAAGACAGAGCTTCAGGCATTATGCTACATGTAAGGTCAGGAAGGAGCCTATGAAGAAGGAGTAAGAGTGGTTAGAGAGGTAGGTGGACAACCATGTGATGTCCATGAAGCCAAGGGAAGAGAGAATATCCAGAAGGTAAGATTACTGAAATGGTCAGCAGTGAGTGGCTAAAGCTCTCAGACAGTGAGTCTTAAACAAAAGGCCATTTAATTTGGCAATTAGGAAGTTTTGGTGACTTTGGAAAGAGAGAAGCTTCAGCAGAGTTATGGGCAGAGAAGCCAAATTTTAAGGAGTTCAGGAGAGAGAGTAAGGTCATGGAAAAATCAAAGATAAAAAGATAAAACTTGTCTAAGAAATTTGGAAAGGAGGGGAAATGGGACAATGATAGAATGGGGTAGAAGAATCCAGGGATTCTTTTAGGGGGATCGGACAGATCTGAGCATGTTTATGGACAGATGACAAGGAGCCAACAGAAAGAAAGAGACTGAAAATGCATGAAAAAGAGGGAGAGGATGATTCCTGAAGCCACAACTCAGAGGAGGCTGGAAAGAATGGAGACAAAGGCACAGGTAGAGGGATTATTAGTCTTACTTGAGAAGTAGAGTCACTACTTACTTTGTCACTAGAATGAAGGAGGAGAGAATATGGGATGATTCTGAAAAATGTCAAGGAGTAGAATTAATAGCATTCCATCCAATCATTCAATCAATTCTTAAAGACCTAGTTGCTCCTAAATAACATTAAGAATTTCTGAAGCTTATAGTTACTTCTTCAATGTGAAGCTTACTGATTTGGAGCTTTTTATATCATAATCAATGTTCACATATCTGCAACAGCACTGACAGGACAAGGCCTAACCTGCTTAGACCAGTGATGAACAAGTATTTATTAAGCACCTACTGTGTGCTAGGAACTATGGTAGACACTGGGCACACAAAGATAAAAACGCAACTGTCCCTGTACTCTAGAATTCTATGGGGGTGGGGTGGGGAGCAGAATTTACAGCATGTACATAAATATATCTTTAAAACAAAGTAAATTTATTTTGGGGGTATCCCCAATCTCCTTCTTGAAGCAGGAAATTAAATAATTTGCTCTAAATAAGGGAGTGGGCTTGAAGTCGGGGCATGAGAAGATGTCAAAAGTCTTGGTACAGTTGTGAGGGATAAGATCAAACGTTGATTAGAGAAGATTATAGACTACAAGGTGTGGGATTTTGTTTTGTCCTTTAGGATTTTTTGGTCAAAAATTTCATTGGTGTGTAGGGAACTCTTCTAAAGACTTACCCTCCACTGAATCAGATCTCCAACTGTTCTGCAACTTAGAGAGTTCCCCAAGGCACTGACAGTTAGGCCACTGGTTGGGAGTCAGGATGTGCTACCATGTCCACCAATCTCATCTATGCTTCCCTGTCCACTTGCTTCAGTCATACCACCTCTTCCTCTCCAACATATCTATTCTACTTAACCAGAGTGGCATAGTATGAAGTGTTGTTGCTGTTGTTTGTCCTTCTTTCTTCAAGAGCACCATGACATCGTGGAGGCAATACCATGACATGCAGGTCAGTTGTATTTAAGTGGAGGAGGGCTATGTACTTTAGAGTCAAAAGTCCTGAACTGACATCCCACTTCTGTCACTTACCTGCCTGTTTACTTTGGGCATCATTTAACTTCACTGTGCCTCAGTTTCTTTACCTGTAAAATGAGTGGGGTTGGACTAGATGGCCTCTGGGGTCCCTTTTAGCTCTAATAATGACAATAATAGCAAGCATTTAGATAACATTTGGAGGATTTTATGAAGTGCTTTATGAATATTATCTCATTTCATCCTCACAGCAATTCTTCTGGGAGAGAGGTGCTATTATTATCCTCACTTTACAGATGAGGAAACTGAAGTAGATAGAACTTGTGACTTGCCTGGAGTCACAAAGCTAGTAAATACCTGAGGCTGGATTTGAATATAGGTCTTCCTGACTATAGGTGCAAGGTCCTGTCCACCACACCAGCTGGCTGCTCCCAATTTCTGAGCCTAGCATTCTATGAACAATTCCAGGTCATTCATTCACTGTGACTGCCCCAGAGGACAATGATCTCTCCCTCCTCTCCATGCCTACATAGTAGGACATTTCATCTGGCCCACGGGTACCTGAGAATCCAGAAAACTAGAAGGCCTGTGGTGATAATGGTCTATTCCTAGACCCCTGGCGCTGCCCCTGAAGTACTAGTGCCCCAGAATCCAGTTTCCTCAGAGTCTTGGGATGCAGAGAAAGAGAGATGACTGGGCTGGGGGCAAAGCAATGGCAGCTAAAAAGAGAAAGGCCAGACCTGCCTTCTAATCTGTGCTGACTTGGACTGTATAGCTATGGTGTTCACCTCAAGATGCTGATCTATGCTCCAAGCACCCCCATACCTCACGACACTTGCTGCAGACCCAGTATCAAAACTTAAGGGGATTTTTAGAATGCCAGTAGGGCTAGAAGTTAGCCCTGTAGTCACAGGTATTCTGTGCTAACTCCCTTCTCCTGCCCTGGCTTACATCTGTCTGCCTGATGCTCCACCCATTTCTAGCCATCCCCTGGTGAGGGAGGGGCAGAGCCCACTGAACTCAACTGCCTTCTTAAAAACACTTCCCTCTGGGCAGAACTCCTATCTATGCAGATATTATCAGCCCTGGGCCATAGCTGCTGAGAATCCTGCCAGGCTCAGCAGCATGTCTGCCAGGACCCTCACCACTCTTTCCAGGATCTACTTCCTGGAGCTGCTCTTCTCCATTCTCCCAGGTATCTGTCCTGTCTACACTTCTTCTCTCCTCTTCCTCACCCTCTGTATGGGGCTGAGGCTCTAATTAGCTTCTAGATACCTCTATCCCTATCTCCTCCCTGTCCTTTCTTCCCTGGGGGTAGTGGCCTTGAAGCTTAGCTTCTCCTTCTTCTACTTGCTTGGCCTCCTCTCCCTGGAAACCTGGGGTGGGATTGGAATCTCTAATTAGCAGCCAGGTGTCCCTGCCATGGTCCCTAAGCTTGCCTTCCCATGAAGGCTTTGTGTAGGACTTTATCTCCTTGGTATGTCCTCTGCAGGGTCCTGGGCCCAGGTGCAGCTAGTGGAGACAGGAGGCAAGGTGACACATGAAGGCCAGTCTGGTACTCTGAACTGCAGGGCCTCTGACTTTAACTTCAAGGAATACACCATGTCTTGGCACTGGAGCTCAGCTGAAAACCACAGGGAGTTTGTGGCCAGCATCAGCCCCAAAACTGGCAGTAAAAGAGAGTATAGCTCTAGAATTCACGGCAGGGCTTTCATCACCAGGAACAATGAGGCCAAAACTGTCTCCCTGACCTTGCGCCAGCTGCAAAAGGAAGACTCAGGCAAATACTACTGTGCCAGACACGCTCTGCTGGGGCCCAGGCAGAGGCCTTGACACAAATCTGGGATTAGAGCCCCAGATGCTGCTGCTGTGCTGTGTGGTGCTGTGTGTGTGTGTGTGTGTGTGTGTGTGTGTGTGTGTGTGTGTGTGTATACACAGAAAGGAAGAAATAAATTATGTGTTTGTGCTAAAGTAAGAGTCAGGGCTTTTCTCCCAGCCTGCACTGTCACTCTGCACTCTTATGATTGCAGTCACTGCTGCAGCATCAGCTAATAGGCCCCTCCACCCTTCCTCTGGGTGCCAGGTAGCCACACCTTCTGGGGCCAGGACCCCAGTGCTGATTCCTGGAGAAACAATCAGTGACTGGGACTAGGTAGAATTCAGGTTGAAATCCTGTAGTGAGATCACATCCTCTGTGACATGCACCTGGCCCTGAGTTTGGCTCAACTGTGGGGACAAGTAGAAGCAAGCCCAGACTCCATTCTGGGGGACCTCACAGCCTGGGAAGGCAGAAGAACTAACCATCTCTGCCTCTGGTGAGCTCAAAGTCTTAGCTTGAAGGAACCCAGAAAGAACTGATTGGTTCCTACCCTCAGGAAGACTTTACCACACTATTACCTTGTGAGGTAGGAGGTACAAGTATAAAGTATATGCCTATTTTACAGATGAGAAAACGGGTTCACATGAGGGAAGAGATCTGCCTGGAGTCACCAGACTTAAGCAGTAGAGACCTGAGTCTGCTCCTGAACCTCCTGCCTGCAGGCTTTCTGCCCCTTTCACTATACCTGGGGTCTCTTCAACCAGCTCTAGACAATGCATTGATCATTAACTGGCCTGTAAGTTCTCAGGAATCCTCCTTCTCAAGTTCTTTCAACCTCTAATCTGGATCTGGCAATGGGAAAGGCTCCAAAGGTGCTGTCAAGGATGCAGCCTTCTTTAAACCTGTGTTATAATTTTGTCACCATCACATCTTTGGGGCTCTCTGTGCTCCAGACCTTGGACAGCTCTGCAGTCCAGCATGCTGTATAAGACTCTGATGAAGGGGAATACACATAGCAAGGAGAAGCACAACGAGAGATGGCCAGGGACACTTGACTCCTGTAGATGTGCTTTTCCAGGGCACCGAGTTCCCACAAGGCTCTTCTGCCAGTCTTCTATCCCTTTGCCAAAGATTGTCACATTCTACAGGTGCCATATGATTAGGGTGAACGATTAAATAGCATGAGTGGAAACTGCTCTTTCCAGCCCTCCTCTTAGCTTCAGAAAGCAGTGATAAAAAGAGAGGTTAGTGCCTTCTTCAGGGCTGTTGATAGCAGCTGCTGCCTTCTTAACCCCACAGCCCAGCTCTGTCACCTTCTCTGCTGTATTATGGACCAAAGATTTCAAAGAAGTTCCTTGGGGTGGCAGGAGGGAAGGGGAAGTGACATTACATCTGACCCTTGAAGGATAGGAAGGGATAAAGAGGGATTTAAATGGGAATTGAATAAGCAAAAAAACAGAGGCAGGTCATGAAACCAACATCAATAAGGCCTAGGTTATTAACTTTACTCACTGCTCACAAATCTGCAGCAGCTCCAATAGGATAAGAACTAAACTCCATAGGTCAGTACTGAAAAGTCCTCTTTGGGTTTTTCCACCTCTTTGCTTTTCACTCATAGTTCTCCTCTCCAGACTCACAGCTCCTGTCCAATGGGATACTTCACTACCCCCTAAACCCATTTGTGGATGTTCCCACAGCTCTTATCCTACCTGCAATATCCTTCTAACTGCCA